TCTAGGTACTGGGCCTTGATCTGCCACCCCTCTCTGGGTTTCCCTGAATATCCACGTGGGGACATTGCTCTGAGACAGTGGGACAAATGCCTAAGACCACTGGGCGGAATGTACTGCCCATGAGAGGGCCCTGGGGTACCCACATTGTCTTCAGCAGGCCCATGATGCTATCTGGACTGTTCTCCAGTGGAGAGGGTGCAAGGCCACAATTTCCAATAAACCAGTGAACATCTTGGCTGAAACAAGCAAAGGGTTAGTACAATTCAAGCGTGGTCACTGGAAAGTTTTACCACCCCTCCAGCCTGTCTGAGACTGATGCATCCACACCTGGGCTGCTTGCTAGTTGGTAAGGGATTAGGCAGCCCACCATCACTTCCAAAGTGGCTTGTTAGCCAGAACAAAGGGAAAAGTGTTTCTCAAATGTAATGCAAGCCTCTTTACTATGAAGTAGAGTATCACAGCTGATTCCTTGTTTGCCAAACTCAAAGGACTTTATTCTCATTATCATCGCAGTCTTTCTCCTTCCTTTCTAATCAAGGTAGCATTTCCTGGTACTGAAGCAAATGCTGGCTCTTTGTAAGATCAACTGCCTAGTTGTAGCACATTGTTTAGTTTATGAGGAAAACCTTCCAAAGGAATAGGTGAAAAAGTATCATGCACAAATAACCCAGTTCATTCCAAGAATGTGTCTCAGCATTTCTTGCTCAATTTGTTCAGAGCTTTCCAAAAATACTGGCCTTAGATACAGAAAATGGTGCTAGCACTGGGAACCCAAGACAAAGGAGCAGGGACTTGGCCCTCAGCTTGAGATACACTGTCCTGTCCCCAGATGCCTCAGAGCTCTCCCTTCCTTCTTCTGTAGGAACAGTGATGGTTCGTGAGAAAAAGCTGAGGGCTTATTTTTCCTGTATGTAAAATGAAGCCAAACCAGTCAAACAAATCAGTAAGACTATACATTGTCTAAAAAAAAAAAAAAATTGACCCATAATAGATTAGGTATGGATCTAAGTAAAAAACCTATTTCTGTCAATCTGTACCTTCATTTCAACATGGTTTTTAGAGAAAGGAAATACATCTTATGTGTCTTGTAGTTCACATAAAAGAATGTACACAGACACATACACATGGTATCTTTCAACATAAATACACATACACACTCCATTAAAGAGATACTGACAGATTTATAAAACGTATTGGCCTTGCACTGTTAATCTTGAGAATACATTTTTACTTAATTTATTTTTGCACTGCATGGTAGCGCTGGTCACCATTAAGGGTCTGTCAGCATTTCCATCATTATTGTTTTCAGAATACCGGAGTACAAGTGCCAAAATACATATTTACAGTTTACAGACAATGGTGGCTTTGTCTCCCTTTTAAATTGACTTCTTCAAAGTATCTTTACAAGGAATATTTAGGGATGGCAGTCCCTACATAATAAAAAGCATCATATAAAACAGAAGAGGTCAAAACATATAGACTTCCAGCCCCAGACTAACCTAAACCATGGGAATCCACACCTCAACATTCACTGCAGCTGTGGTAATCTCTACATCATAGTCAAAGTTTCAGAGCGACAGTCCAAAGCAAGATTACTTTGATAATATATGTATGTATATGTGTGTGTGTGTATATATATATAAATATAGAAGCAGTACATAGCATTAGTACACAAAATGCTAAAGGTGGAAAGGAATACAGAAAATGACTCCAGAAATGATCATTTCCACAGTGAGAAAAATGAACACAAGCCACCAAACACAGACACTGACTGTTTCCAACACTGAACACCCAACTCCATTTACACAGAGTTAACACATGTAGGAGTAAAGTCTCTCTTAAAACAGGTATGCTAACTACATTCGTGGGGCTTGAAATGGTAAATCGGAGGTTAGGCCTAATTTTTTAATGATTAGTTGGTTTTGTAAAAGATATCAGCAAAATCTTTTTGTGGAAAACACTTTTTAGAGGAAGAAAGCCAATTCTATTGGCCCTTTCCACACAAAGGTGAGCAATTATTCAGAGATTTCCTTAGCAATTTTAAAACGTTTAGGACATTCTCTTTTGAGGCTTGTTACTCAGGTTCTTGTCTCCTGATCTGTAGTTTTTGTTCTTTCCAGCTCTGACACAACATGCAAGCATGGATCCACAGGCCTATTTGTCTACATAAAAAGAGGGGGCAGATCATGGGGGATACGAAATAGCTACAAACATTTTTGTGGTTAATGACTGGTATATCCTAAGAAATATATCCTGGTATATCCTTTCAAATATATTCTGCTGCAAAACTGAAGCAAATGCTAATTTATAAGGCAGGGGGAGTTCTACACATACAATTTCCCCTCAAATCACAGGGGAGAAATTTAAAGACAGTTTGCCATACTCTGGCTGGTTCAAGCCATACTCACATTTACCCAATTAATTTTATTTGAAACACCTATTTACACATACACACACACACACACACACACACACACACCCCAAAGAAATTAAACCCTGACATTTCCCCTTTGTGCTTAAAAAAACCAAAGCCACTGTTAGTGTACACGTGTCAAAAGAATTCTTAACAGGTTTCAAAGCCAAGTGTATACAAATGTGGCAGAACTGAGTGGGGTACATTAAGAGAAATATTTTAACTCCTTGAGATTAACTGATGGGAGATTTATTACTTCTGTATTTAAAGATTAGATGTCGACAGCAAGGGTACCACCACTTCAAAATCACCAACGTGACTCCTACCCAATCAGAATTTTATGGGAAACTAATTTTGGATCTGGGTGAGAAACAGATAGGGAAGTTTTTCTAAATTTTGTTATCAATGTACAAACTTAGATTTTATGGTATTCTGAAGATCTCTACATTGTTAACTAATTTTCATGTCTAAAGTTTATCATTATAATAGCTGCCCTTCTGATTTTTGCTTTTTTGGTCATTTCTTATCTGACTCAGTTTCTTGGTAATTTAAGGAACAAAAAAATAATCCATATTTCCAAATCATAGATTTTGCCATACAATTTAGTTACAAAAATAAAAATAGCCCAAACTACATATGCATGACTCTAGTTAAACTACAGAGATATATTAGTTAAACCACACAAATTTCTGGTGTAGGGAGAATATGTGGATTAGCAATTAGAAAATTTAAATGAGTTTTGAATTTTTACAAACATTTTCATACAAACATTGCCTTCCCCTTTTACGTGTAAAGTTAAAAATAAAAACACAACTAAAATCACACAATTAATCAGTCACCTAATGTCCAAAATGACTTGCAAAGTATCTCTGTAATTGCACATTAAGAAGTTGACTATACAACAAATGCTTCAAGTACGGTTCATGCCAATCATCATAAAGAGTCATAACATTCTTGGAAAAGCACACTTGTCCTCTGGGAGGACACTTCAGAGAAGTAAATTACAAGGAGCATGGCTGTATTATAATTTTTTAAAGGAAAAAAATAGTTTCTTTGGATAGAAAGAAACAGTGTAAAAAAATCCCCTTTTTAAAATGCAGAAATCACTTCATTATCAATCTGCATTTACATTACTGCCCCAAAGAACGGGTGGGTCTGGAAAGATGTTTTCTGCATGGACACTAGTTAACCTCTGCGTGAGGGGCCAGCGCCTGGCATGGAACACTCGAGGGAGGCACTGGCCATGAGCTCAGAGATGTTAAGGCCGATCCTGTAATGGACACTTGGATCCAGAAGTACTTCTTCATTTCTTTTCTTTCCAGTTGAGTTCCTAGAAAACCTTGGAAGATAGCTGTTCTCACTTTTCATTTCACTTCTCATTGAATGGAGAGGGTAGAATAATGACACCAAAGTACTTTGGTTATCTTTTTTCTTTTAAAAATAATTTGCTTTGTCTTGCATGCCACAGGACAGATTTCTAGTGTCAAAACAAGGGTACAATAAGAACAAAAATCGTCCTCCCTCCCCAATCATCTTTACTTTCACCAATACAGGAAGTCCTTCTGGAAACATTAGCAAGTGTCTAACAGGTATCGAACCACCAATCTATAAGTTAAAACATAGTCTGTGATGGCAGAATAACCAAGAATTATCCCCAAAAGAGGATTTTAATTTCTTGAATACAAAAGTTTAAGAGAATCATATTTAAACAAACAAAAGCCTCTGGTTCCTGGTTTAAGATAAAGATGAGTCCCACACTGGCAGCTGCAGAGATCTGAAACTCTTATTAATAAATAGATCTGAATTAATTTCTACTGTCTTTAGAAAATAGGACTTGAATTCCTTTTTTAAAATGATGATCCTGTGGAATGCTTTTACTTCCATATTTACTTAATATTATAACAGTAAAACAGACACAAGACTGTTGATGACAGCTTAACAATGCTGGATTCAGGACATTTACAGGTACACTTTTGTTAGAAGTCCTACAGGTTTATTGACTAAGGCTAGACAGCAATTCATATGATCCTATTTGGTGCATTTTCTACCATGGTCCAAGATCATTACATGGAGACAGCCAAGGACTGGGCCCCAACTTTCAGGAGAAAAAGACCACAAAGAAGAAGAAAATCAA